GAGCACATTTCTTGTCCAACATTGTTACCTCCTCCCTCATTTTCTCCCACTTTCCCTTCCCCTCCTCCTTCTTTCTCCTTTTCCTCTTTCTTCTTCCTTCTCATTCTTCATTTTTCTCCTTCTTCCTTCTCCTTCTTCATTTTTCTCCTTCTTCTTCCTTCTCCTTCTTCATTTTTCTCCTTCTTCTTCCTTCTCCTTCCTTCTTCCCACCATCTCCCTCTTGGATACAATTTTCGTTATCTAATGAGGACAAGCATCCCAAACAGAGCTGAACTTCTCTGGCCTTAAAATCCTACTGTGCTGGGCACTGGTGGCTCAGGCTGGTAATCGTAGCTATTCATGAAAGACCCCCGTTGACGTGGGGTGTCCTTCAATCTGAAGAGACCCTTCCCCAAGGAACAACGAGACCACTTGTGCGGATGCAAACAGCAAGAGGTTTATTCGGGCATGCCTAGGCTCCCAGGTGCACTCGACCACGAGATCCACAAGGTTCGGGTCGGGTGTCTGAGAACCAGTTACGCGGGTACCCGGGGCGACAAAGTCTGTCGGGAGACTTGCGCGCCGAGTGTCTGTGAGCATCCTATTTTATGGGCAGCAGAAGCGAGGTTACAGAAGCGAGATGCCTGGTTACAGGGTGTTGATTGGTTAATTTTGAATTACGCTCAGGGTGGGGATTGGTTAGGTTAAGTTGACCTGGTGGGGTAGGCGAGGTCAGGGGAAAGCTGATGTGTTATTTCAGGCCTGCTCTGGTCGTAAAGCAGTTCGTTCCCCAGTTTTGACAAGTGATTTATCACATCCTGCCTCACCCTAGTATTAGGGCTAAGTTTTACAGGAAGGAATGTGTTGGTCCGCTATTTTACCGGAATGCCTGGTTTTAAGGCATGTGCTAGGGTCATGCTAGGGTCTGCAGGCGGTGATTCAGGGGATGCCTGGTTTCGTTTCCTGGTTAGCGGCCTGCACGTATCCTGCCCCACTCTTTTAGGTATGTAGGGTGAGGGGCGGCAGTCTTCCTTGGGGTGCCTAATGGGTAAGCACGGGCTGGGGTCTTTCATTCAGGAACCAGAGATCAGAGGATCCTATTTCAAAGCTGGCTCAGGCTGAAAAGTCCATGAAATTCACCTCCAATTAACCAGCAAAAAGGAAGAGTGGAGCTATGATTCAAGTGGTAGAACATCAAGCCTTGAGCAAAAAAAGCTAAGAGCGCCCAGGTTCTGAGTTCAAGTCCCAGTACAGGGATGAAAGAAAAGAAAAAGAGGGGGAAAAAAAACTCTCAGGGAAAAGGATGGATTCAAAAGGTGAGACGATGGCAGGCAGACAAAGGCACCAACCTCAAGAAACCAGATCAACTGTAATGAAAGTTGAAGAGGGACTCCAGGGTAATCAGAGGAGAGTCAGGAGACACTAGGTATACCCAGGGAGGGGTGGAGGGTCTTTAAGTAGAGGTCTGGGTGGGGATAGATTATAGGTAGCTCACGAGTTGTAAGAAGTTTTGCAATGTGCCCTGAGCTGTAAGGAGTTTTGCAATGTGCCCTGAGCGTTTCTGGTTCAGGGAACCTGTGGTGCACTAGAATGGATTAGCCAGGTGTGGCAAGTGTGGAGGAAATTAGGTGCCTGTCACCTGATGGGTGGGGGGTGGGGAAGTGGGCTTTCACATTTAGATTAAGATTGAGGAAATTCTGGAAAGGGAGTAAAGGGGTAGTCAGTGGGCCAAGCCCAGGGAGCAACATTGAGTTATGAAAACAAAGCAGATTCCCATCATTAACTACTTTTGCCTTTTTCATTGCTTAGACCGAATTTTTTCGTGTGTGTCTATAATATTTTGATTATCAGGAATATCAACAACAAAAGAGCCCAAAGGTGAACTCAAAAGACCAAAAGGTTTTATTCAGGATGAAAATCCGGGAAAGGTAACAAGTCTCCTCCAACAGGCCTATAGTGAAAATGGCATGCCTCTTTACAACTAGGCTCCCTTTTTATGAGGAATAAAAGGGAAGTCAGCCTGGGCAGAGGTCAGGAGTAGTCTCTTTCACATGGGTAGGGGTCAGAATGGGACCAAGAGAAGGGGCCCTTTGTGCAAAGATAGAGTTGGGTGGTAGAGCAATCTTATCTTGAGACTCAGGATGGAGGTTTTAACAGCATCAGTGTTAGCAGGTACAATAACACACAATTCTGTCAGGAGCTATCTCTTTTTTTACTGTACACATAGTTACCCCTCCCTAGTAACTATGGTTAGGGCAGCACAGACCAGCAGACTTCAAGACCATTTTTTAGAGAGGATAAAGGTAGTTACTGCCAGTGACCTGAACCACATCAGTGTCAGAAAGAAGTTTGGATCCTGAGGGAGGGAAGACCCTGGGTTTTATACAAGCTGGTCACATACAACATAGGCATTAATCAGATATACACAAGTTCAAGCAGCTGATATCAACTTCTGACCAGGTGAGCAGTTCCTGTTATAACCTCTTTTTACTATTATTATTTTATTGTAAAGATGCTGTACAGAAGAGTTACAATTACAAGAGTAAGGCAATGAGTACATTACTTGTCAATCATTGTTACCCCTTTCCTTGTTGTTGTCACTTTATCACTTCCCTCCCCCACAACCTCTTGTACTTTTATTTTTTAAATGCCTTAGCTGTGCACTGGTGGCTCATACCTGTAATCCAAGCTATTCAGGAAGCTGAGATCTAAGGATCTCATCCAGAAGATTCTGATATTTAATTAATGACTAGAAAACTTGAAATGTTGCTGTAGCTCACAGTACTAGAGCACTAACCTTGAGCAAAAAAGCTCAAGGACAGGGCCCATGTCCAGAGTTCAAGTCCCAGGATGGTTTTTTTTTTTGTTCCTGGGGCTTGAACTCTGGGTCTGGGTGCTGTCCCTTAGTTCTTCAGCTCAGGGCTAGCGCTCTACCACTTGAGCCACAGTACCACTTCTGGTTTTTTGGTGGTTCATTGGAGATAAGAGTCACATGGACTCTCCTGCCAGGGCTGGCCTGAACCGCCATTCTCAGTTCTTAGCCTCCTGAGTAGCTAGGATTACAGGTGTGAGCTACCAGTGCCTGGCCCCAGGATCTTTAAAAAAAAAAAAAAAGCCTTGTGGGCTTCCACTATCAATTCAGATAGCCTTACCTCCTCTACCCCCAGCCTACGTTCCAGGAATAGTCCCACCTGGCCACTGGGTGGGACCACATTCCAGCAACTGAGTACTGGAAATTGCCTTGGCTAGGAGGCATAACTTTATGTTTCTGGCAAACGTCTTCCCAGCAGCTTTCTATGGGATGTGGCCAGGTGAGGCTGTCTATCTGAATTCTGAGGCAGGCTGACCAGGTGGGGTTAAATTGATAACAGGAGGCCAACCAGGTATTTTTGAATACCGAAAGGGGGGGAGGGGGAGGAGGGAAGCATATATCTAAATTAAAGCTGCAGGGACGAGTATGTGGCTTAGTGGCAGAATGCTTGCCTAGCAGGTCTGAAGCCCTGGGTTTGACTCTCAGTACTACATAAACAGAAAAAGTCAGAAGTTGAGCTGTGTCTCAAGTGGTATAGCGCTAGGATTGAGTCCAGAGAAGCTCAGGGACTGCCTAGGGTCCTGAGTTCAAGCACCAGGACTGACAATAAAAAATAAAAATGTATACCAAAGGGACAATAAATGGATGCCATTGTGTTTTGTCAATAGGAAAGGAATTGCACATCTGGTTTGGTATTTGCTGGCTCACCCTGCCATAACATTTTCTTTTGCTTCTTTTGCTCAAGGCTTGTGCTCTACCACTTGAGCCGCAGCTTCACTTCTGGCTTTTTTGGTGATTAATTGGATATAAGAATCTCATGGACTTTTCAGCCTGGTCTAGCATTGAACTGCAATCCCTAGAATTCAGCCTCATGTGTAGCTAGGATTACAGGAGTGAGCCACCAGTGCCCAGCTTACATAGAATTGTTACCTTCTATAAGAAACCAAAACGTATGTTTATTTTCTTCTTAAAGATTCATCTGCATACCGGAATGTTTTCCCTATCACAAAGTCTTGGAGAAAAGTATTCTTCTTATGCATTTCTTGGGTGCACTTTTAAGCATATATAGTGTTCATCAACTGTACTGCACTGTCTGGATTACCTAGTTTTGAGACTACCAAAAGCAGCTAATTTGAATGGGGAAAGCAAAGGGTCGGGAAAATTAACCACTTACCAAAGCCTATTTCCAGACCTACCTCAGACTTGGGAAGTGAGGAATTTTGTTGTTGCTTGCATTCCTTTCCAGGAAGCTCTGCAGGTTTATATTGTAATGGAAATGAAAGGTGCTTGGACCTCTGCTCCGATCAGCTGCACCCTAGAAGCCTGAAAGTGATTTGCAAAGTCTGCACTCCACAGCGCACCCAGCAACTCAGGGTGGCACTAGGACCCCGCCCCGGAGTCCCTGCACGGCTGCGTGGAGGCTAATGGGCGGGCCCTCGAGTGGGCGGGGCCTCCACAGGCTCCTCGCCCCGCCCTGAAGGCGGACCTGACTGGACTTAAACTCCGGAGCCGGGGGGGGGGCCTGAGGGTCGGGGGCATTCTTCCATTTGTCACAGCCCCGCGCGACGCCCGGGGGGGGG